CACACACACACACACACACACACACACACACACACACACACACACACTTAATCACGTACACACATATTATCGCATACATATACATTGTTCTATGATAATCGGATACATAGATTTACTACGTCCTCTGTGCTGGCCGCAGCATCTGCTGTCGACATATCACACGTTTGTTTCTGTGCTTACACATGCTGTATACATGTGCTTAGAAAGTTGTTTTACAAATATTGTTTATTTTTCTCTTTTACTGCCACTGATAATATCCCCTTCTAGGCAGGCGGTGTTCTTCTTGTTGCAGCAGCCCAATAACGCGACTGATTGCGCCAGAGAAAGTGAAATGTTTGCAAACACTGGTCGCTATATGCGTGTACAATGCACGATGAGCTTCTAATCGGCTGGGCGGGTCACTTCGCATAGGTTATTCTAACGGTAAAATCGAAATGATTCGTCGTCATTGTATATAGTGGTGTTTTTCTATTTAATTTTGTATTAATTTTAATTTTTTTACCGCCTTTTATTTGAGGAAACGCTAGAACGAAATCCCCTTATTCTGGTCTGTTGTCGAGTTTTTTGACGGAACGAGAAATGAACGCACGTACATCTGCAATCCGTAAAATACATAACGACGAGCCATCATATTATTATTGTAGTCTAAGGATTCTACGCGAGCGTTTAAGTCTCTTTTAACAATATACACACGTCTTCTCGCATCACCGTATTGTTATCGTAAACGTCCGGTTTCTACTCGCACGTCTAAATACACGTCTATGGCATGCCGTCTAGTATACGGTCAGAGAATTATTAACAGTTTTTTTTTTCGTTTTTGTTGAAATACCATATGAATGTCTCGTTAAGAAACTCTGGTCAGCAAAACTCATTTTGTTATAATAAGGTTTTATTCTGTTCATAAACATAGTTTGAAAACAATTCAGTACTTCCTATTGTCCATTATGCAAGGGTCATCAGTTAAGACTCCACTACGAAGAGCCACGCGGTCGGCATTTGAGATGATTTGTATATTGATACACTTATTATTAGTTGTAGACCCATTTCTTATTATTAAAACACGTCCATATAATACTAGTACGCGTATATATTATTGTTTAGGGACAGATAACGACGTCGTTCCACCACTTGTGCGCTTCAGACGTCCGGAGAAAAATTAATATTCCAACGTTTTATAGAATATTAATTTTTAACTTGTACATTTTATTATATACCTAGGTATGTTATTTTGTGCAATCGATACGACGACTGGTTTTAAGTGAATCAATGCACGAGAATAACAAGTTGTAGGTCTATATCGTTTTGAAATCCGATATACGCGTCTCGTTTCCGTCATGGAGTATTATCTGATGGAACCATGATTAAAAAACACCGGATAGAATAGATCGTCCTATGTGCATTCTAAATTTACTATATATCGACTGAGTATATTATAGTAATATATTTACGTGTACATCGATTACGTTTTTTCTTCTTTTAATACCGCATTATCCACTGTATGTATATGTAGTAAATTTTATTTCGACTTGTGGGTGCAGTTGAAATATATATATATATATATACGGTATATTCAGTGTTCATTAATACATAGATACGTATAGTATTAATACAATCTAGTTTTATTCATTGCATTGTATTATTATTTTCAACACGCTTGTCATATATACGAGGATAAAATTGCTTATTCAACGCGGGGAATACGGACGAACATTAAATATGAAATTAACGGGCTACTGTGCATATTTGTGTGCATTCGTTCGGTGAACATTATATGCTATATATATATATGTACTTTTCGCCCGATCGCCACTGCAGCACACGCGTTGTGCGTTTCTCGGGACTCGGAATTGGTGACCACGATAGTAGTTCCCGCATGCACATAATAATATATTGTACTCGTTTGATGCGATTGCCAAACGGAAAATCAGAATGTGATCTGATTAAAAAAAAAAAATAAATAAAAAAATAAAAAAACACGTTTCGCCCATTGGCTACTATTACTACAGTACATGAACTTCCACCGCTGCGGCCGAGATGACGACGAGCGTGATTACGAAAGATAAAACCAACAGATATTTTTTTTTTCGTACCTTCCGTAATAAACCGTGCACGCGTTAAGTAGATACACGAAAAAAAATATAATAATAATAATAAAAAAAATATTACGAAGATATCACATAATATTGCAGTTAAAGAAGCACGACCCGAGGCTGGAGGCCGCACTATTTGTCTTTTATTACAGGTTGCTGTTGTTGTTGTATATGTGTTATGTGTTCTTCTCTCAGATTGAACGGTCAGATAACGAGGATTGTATTACATCCCAGTGTGTTCTTATAACGTACCCAGGTAAATGACTCGCGGGACGATGTCGTGTCCGATTTTTCAAGTCATCGATAACATATTATAAAATTTGTATGTACGTTTGACATGTGTTTTTTTTGATTTGCGTGGACCAAGTATACGTAGCTTCTAATCGCAGTGTGATGAAAATTGCAAGTTTTCTTTCTGACCTTGGATGAAATAATATAATGATATATTTGCAGCCGGGATCTGTAACTTTAACCTCTTTCTTTGAGGAACTTAATGATTTAGAAAAATTTGTTAGGTATAAATATAATGTTTATCACTTGAAAAACAGATTTTTACTGAATGAAATGTATGCAAAATATAATATTTTATATGTCTATTAACGCAAAGTAATAAGTAATACGAATAATAATATTATGTACATTATAATGTTTATACTTATATTATGTATATAGAATACCGGACAATTTACTCATTACTCGGGTGATTTCGCCTGGCCCGTTAATTTTAATCTCAGATAGAAATAAATAATTGTACAATATTTTACTAATAATTTATTACAATTTTATTATAAAGCAGAACAAAATATAAAATATCAATATAACATTTCTTACTCACTATTTATATTGATATAAATAATATATTTTTATTTTTATTTTATATCTATTGTTTTCCTATATCAGACTGATAAAAGTATCAATATATAATAAATCATAATAAAACACTATAAAATAGTACAACAATATATGAACTATAATTGATATTTACGATTAACTAGTCGAGTTTTCATGTTTTTCATGGTACTTAGTACTTGGTAATAATTTATTTCTATTCGAAATTGAAATTGCCCGAGCAATGTGTACATTGCTTGATATTCCATATTATTCGTAATAAATTGTATTGTAAATAATTATAAAATACATTCATTTCGTAGAGATTATCGTTAACTGTATAGAGATTCGGCTGAAAATTACTAAAATTTACGCATTTCATCGTTTCCCTCATTGAGAGTTTATACATGTTCTTTCCACGTTACGTAACTGCGCAACGATATGTAATAATATTTTAACATTCGGACGTCCGCGGACAAGTCGTTGTTGGTCGATGTGAAAACTATCGTGTGAACAAGCGCCGTTCATATTTTATTATAATACACGTTCAGCCGTATTTAGCGACGTCCGTTCGCTTAGAAAGTTACCGACGGCAATCGAACAGATCCAAGTCCATACGCATGTCTATAAACCCGAAAACTACATGAAATGCGCGCGTACGGGACCGGTTATTATTAAACGAACCAAAGCTCAAGGGTGCAGTTCAAACGCACTAGCACACGCCAAAAATTTGCCTCGTACACAAGTATTATAATATACTTACCTAACAACGGCGCGGCCGCAGTGGATTATCTCATAACATAAATCGTGCGTGTGTGGTGTTGTTTTTTGTATCCAATGCATTAGACGATTTTTTTTTATTACCCTCGGATAAATCCACATGCGATGTGTCAAACTTTCCATTGTGTTTTTAAACTCGTTTTTTTCCTCGTTCGTCGTAAAATCTTATCTTATTTCATAACACTCCTGCACGGTGTTGAACAACATCACGCCACGTGCCCATTTTTTCTTTTTCGAAAATTTAGCGCCTTAGGTTAGATATGTAAAATCGGCGTATAAAATCGTCAAGTGTTTGACCTGTCGGCTCGTACATAATATGTATTTAAAAACGTATACGCGCATCGAATCCGTTATGACGAAGCGTGTATGTATATACGCGTGTAAATATATTTTATCGAACCTTTAGGTCATATACGTCGGCCACGAAGTGTGCGTTTTCATATAAGTATTCAATATGAATACGAATTTATTCATTACAGAGGTTGCTCTACGTACACTTCTTAGCATACGAATAGCCTTACGACCAACTACGGTATGATGATAATATTTAATACGCATTATATGCGTTATCTTTCGACTGTCTTAGTCAACAATTATTGTTAAATTTTTTAAAGTTAATGTGAAAAATATTCTTTGCTCGACCGCATAAAATGAATTAATTAATCGCTAATCCGTTCTACACACTATTATAACGTATATAAATATATTTATATACATCATTATATTTTATACCCTAGCGATTACACTTAAACGTATATTTTAATCCTATTATTATTGTGGAATAATATAAAATAAATAGGTTTAGAAATTTGCCCACGCAAATAATTCGTATAATAATGTGCGCCATTTATGATCATAGTGAACAAATCAGGCATACATACGTATAACATTCTAATGTATTCCATTCATGGCCGTTTATTATCCAATAATGTCAATAAATATTCTATTTTTATTAGCCGCTACCATTTCTACGAGTACAAATTTGGCTAGTCATCAGCAAACGACAGGATGGGTGACTTCGACACAAATCGTATCTGACCAAAGACCTCGTTCATCAACAGCACCAGTAATCGTAGCTACGGTTCCTACAAGTAAAACCGACCGAAAAAGTAAGAAAATCTAAAAAAAATGCTCAATGTATAAATGTAAATAATGTATTTAATAAATATCCAATAATAATATATACACTTATAGTTTATTCAAATTCACCGCCTACTCGAGAACAAGTTCGGGCAGAAGACAATGTACGACTCAGGTCTACCGAACAACATCGATCAAACTCCAGTTTGTCTCAAACGTCATCTTCCGGATGGGATCAAACCGATTCGACTGGTAATTTTAATTCAAAATGGTTATTGAAGAAAATATTTTTTAATTTTATTGTACTTTTTTTAGATTGCGTTACCAGGAGACTACTGATCGAAGAGTATGAAAGTGAATGCAAGCTGAAAGAAATCGCAGACTCGATTACTCGGTTACATCCTCGTAATATAACTAATGGGATATTATCAAAGTCTAGAAACATAGAACATATGAGAGATTCAGATGTTAACAATCAAAAACCAGGTATATATTTATTATTTATACTAGTTTTCATTAACAAAATATAATCGAAAGTCAAATATAAAAAGGTACGTGGTGATCCAGACGGTTGTGGGTTAGATTTATCTTTACGATACTCCCCTAGCTCGGAACTGAGAGTTGATTTGCCAACTGAAGACTTATTAAACATAAAGAAAGGCTGGCTTATGAAACAAGGAAGTACATCAGATGTAAGTTGTGAAGTAGTGAAATATTAATGTTTTGTACAGTCATTAATTTAATTAACAATGAAAATGTGTTAATTAAGGAATGGAACAAACATTGGTTCGTACTCAGAGGTTCTGCATTATTATTTTATCGTGACCCTACTGCTGAAGATCAAGGTATCCTAGATGGTGTGGTTGATCTAAGTTGCGTGACTACTGTTAGTGAAGTGCAAGTCAACAGGAATTATGGGTTTCAGACAATTGTAAGTATTAAATATAAAAAAAATGTATACGTATAAATAAATTTATGAAAATTAACAATCTATTTAACACTCTTGCAATTCTTGAAGTCTTGGGATGATAAGAGAGTTATTTTATCAGCGATAACTTCTGGTATACGAACTAATTGGATATCCGCTATACGGAGAGCTGCTGGACTCACAGAAGAAAATATGATGGTTAAACCTTCGTAAGTACAATATAAACAAATAATATCTATAATAATATGATGTCATGTCTATATTTTAGTTTGGATGGTACATTATCTTCTTCAAGATCGGTCATCTTTTCATCAGATGACGAGTATAGAACAGCATCTGAGTGTGGAAGACATGAAAGTAGTGATTGGGGTGATACTTTACCACCATCGCCTCCTCTGAACCGAACACCAATATCAAAAGTTAAAGAACGAGCAAGAGGTGGGCCTAGAAGTAGGATATTTACTGGAGGAACTCTTGCAGCTAAACGTTCGAAATCTTCACCTCCTGTATCTCCAAGAAGTATTTCTGAAACTTCAAAATCCGATGAACTTTTACTATCGTCATGTGCAGAATCTGACGATACCAAAGTAATTTGATATATATATATATATATATTAAATGATAATATTACTAATAAATAAATATAATTTATGCTATAGAGTGACCGAAGTTCATTAGTGGGCCGAGTAGGAAAACAAGCTGATGAATTAGTTGATGTCAAAAAGCAACTGACTGGTGTATTATGTCAGTTGAGTAATGCTGAACAAGAATTGATAAGACTACGGCAACGCAAGAACGATGTGTTAGCATTACAAAAGCAAGTAGAAACAATGGGCACTTCGTTAAAAATGGCTGAAGATATGATTAAACAAAAATCTGATCAATTAGTCGAATTTGATTCGCTGAAGAAACTGTAAATATTTAATGATTAATTAATAAACCTGTAAAATTGTTATAATAATAGTGTATCAACAGTTACAGAGACGAAAAAAAAAACTGGGAAACTGCTTTGTGTTCAGTACAAAATGAATCTGAACAACACCTTGAAGAATTAGAAAGAACTAGAGAACAAGTTTCTAGACTTAGGGGTTCGCTGGCAGATGTGTCTGACCGTTTAGCTAGAGGAATCGAAGAAAATGAATCTCTTTATCGAAGAGTTCGTGAGTTAGAAGGGCGATCAGTACCAATCAGTGCATCTATTCGAGATAGTCGAGCTAGAAGCTTAGATTCACTTAGTGATTTGACGAATATAGATTTAGATTTAGATACCGAAAATATGGATAAAGAAAGGTTAGTATTTTTATGAAGTTTTAAAAAAATGTACGTACTAATAATAAGTAATTTAAATATTATTAACTGTATTATTAATTTTAGGGTTGTTGAAGAATATGAAGATTTAAGATGTAGATTCGAAAAAGCTGTCCAGGAAATTAGAGCAATGAAACGAGAACTCAGAGAGTCAAATATTCAAACCGATTGTTTGGAACTGGAATTGATTAATGCTCGCCAAGATTTACAGATTAGACAGCAAACGTACGAAAGTCAAGCATCTATGATGGCAGCTAGAATTCAGGATCTGACCACCAAACTTTCAGCAGCTGACAAACAGGTAAAATATTTAATACATTATGTGATTTGCAAATAAATATTAATAATTTTTGTTCCATGTAGATTCGGTTGTTGAAACAAAAACTTACAAAATCAGAAGGACGAGAAAAACGTCGTTCTTTATCACTTAAAGGTCGTGAATCTTTTACTATATGTAAGGAATTGGAAGAGAAACTGATTGATTTGGAAAAGAAAATCGGTAAGCTCGATATAACCAATGGCAATGCAATAGAAAAAACCGAATCAAAAGACTCTGGATGTCGAGCTAGTACAGTTGCATCGAGGCTTAGACGAAAATCATTAGATAGCGCTACAAGTAGTGAACCAATGAAAGTGCTTATCAGGATGACATCCTTGGAAAACCGCGTTGCTGAATTACAAAAGGCAAATTCAGATACCATGAATATAATCGTCGAAGACGGTATCGATACCAAAGAAAATGAAATTTACAAAATCGAATGTGCTTGGCGTTCCAAAATGAGCGAAATTTCATCTAAGAGAAGAAAACTTCAAACTGAAGGTCAACTAGATGATGAATCCAAAACAACATTATTGGCTGAAAAAGTTGCTACAGAATCAGTATTTTTAAACAAATTAAAACAGTTGATGAAAAATGATATAGCAATTGAATCTACAAACCGAATCAAAAATAGATTAGAATCTAATATTGATTTAGTAGCTGAAGTGGATAAAATAGTTGGTATAAAAAATAATACTGAAAAAAGAGTTATTGAATTTATGGATAATCGAATGAGTACAATACAAAAGTATAAATGGGATGTTGATGAAGTAAAAAATATTGCTTATGACTGTTTGGAGGACATTGTAACTGACACAGAAATGCATATGGCACTTGACTATTATTTCAAAACTCAAGATTTATCAGATAAAGGTAGTGTTATGATAATTCAGTGTGTAATGAATAGAGGAAAATTAGAAACTTGGTTAAACGAAGTCAGAAATTTGGTGGAAATCAAAATCAACGAAGTCGTACAAACTTTACCGACTAAAGCAAAGCGTATCGAAGACAAAAGCTGTTTGGAAGAGTACTTTGAAGTTGCAGTACTCCATTGTATGTTAGAGTCTGGCTTGAATCTAGTGGAGAAAACTCCAAAAAATAAGACTGACATGAATGAAGATGAAGCTCTATCTGAATGTCAATATTTGGCGGCTAAAATGTGTCAGTGTTTGCCTCCAATAGACGATAAGCGTATGTTACACGATAGTCTAGGTGGAGTCGAAACTGAAGTAATGGCTCTTAGGTCATGTATGGAAGAAATAATCGACAAACGACAGTTGAATGGACCGGTTTCCGACCCGCAACCTTTGCGTAATGAAAACAAAACCACTTCTTGGATTGAAGATGTCTGCAACAAATGCCATGACTTACGCATGCAGATAGCCTCACTACAAATGTATCTAGCGCAATGTCAAGAATGCCAAAGGTGTATTTATCTACAAGAAAAAATCAAAGGTTACGAACAAGAACGTGATGTCGAACTCGAAACAGTTCAAACACGGCATCAGATGGACATTGCGGAACTGAAAAGTCGCTTGGAAGAAGAGAAACGAAAATTAATGATCGTCAATGATCAAGAACAAGTCGTACTTAAGGATCGAATAAAAAAATTGGAAAAACGATTAAGTGCATTGGACTCCGAATATAATCAACAAATGGACAATTTAAGGTTATCTTATCAAATATCGTTGGCGTCACATGACTCTTCTAACAGTATTATGACAGAAGAATCAACTAAACTCCGATACCAAACAGAAATAGAACATTTGAGGGTATGTTATGAAAAACCTATATTGAATTGTTTATAATTATAGTATAATACAAATTTCACTGTCTCAATTTAAGATAATATATATCATGTTAGAATTTGATTTTAATTATGTGATCTAGGCATTATGCGAGAAAGGTCTGTTGGCAATGGAAAACTCGCACCGACGTATTATCGCTGAACTTGAGGAAAAACACCGACAGGAGACGGAATCCTTAAAGTTAGAAAAAGATCAGGCACTCGCCGAAGAAACGCATGCAACACTGGCCGGTAAGTAGCATCAGTTACAAAATAGTAAATTATCGGTAACGATTAGATAGCAAAAGTCACATGATGATTTATGATGGTGTATTTCGTTAAAGCGTTGGATGCAATGAGAAAAGCTCATGAGGCTGAAGTGCAAAAGGAAGTGACCAAGTTCAAGACGGAATTTTTAAAAAAGATTCAATCAAATCACGATATCGGAGCTCTACATAAAGAACACGAGTACGTCGTTGCTTAAGCATCCTTATACACACATATACACATAGATATTACAATGGCAGTATACCTATTTTTTATTTTAGAGCCGAAATGGAAGAAATCAAAAAAGAAATTCTTTCGTTGTCTGAAAAGTATTCTATCAAATGCGTGGAGTCGGCAAACCTGGAAGAAGAACTGAAATCGGCCAACTCACAGTTGGCACAAGCTCAACAGCAAATCATACAACTAGATTCCAGGTACGATTGTTCCTGATGTTTATTCATATAAAACACCTATCTTAATTCCTTTTCGTTTGTTATGGACTACTAATATTAGTTTATATTATTTTATACTAATCTTACACGTTTGCTGTATGCACATTTTTTTTTTTTTTTTTTTTAGGAATAAGCAGCTCCGTGCACACTTGGTGTCAGAGACGAACGATAACATGTCGTCGGACTTTGAGATCACAACGGACGCTGAACTCAGCCGATTGAAGCAAGACATACTGGTAAGTGGAGTGCAAGCAAGCGATGTATAACGCGGTAATGCATGACACTTTTTATCCGCTGATTTTCACCGTAGATAAAGTTCTAGTAAACATTTATTCTTGAATGTTTGTAGTTGCAGTAGTATTAGTATTAATGTAATAGTAGTAATAGTAGTAGTAGTTAGTAGTATTAGTAGTACTAGTATTTGTAGCAAAATTTATAGTTCTGTAGTTAAACTAAATGCAATTTTTGACAGTCCAGTCAAAACGTACAAAAGTCAAGTTAAAAACATTAATCGGTTTATAATTATATTTTAATGCTTACATTTATATTTTCTGACTGGGTTCCGATACTATTAAAATACATTGTCCCTGTAACAAGATTTTTTTATGATTTTGTTTCACCTGTAATCCTAAAATCGATAGCATCTCCATAAACGAGTTCCTACAAAATCATGCACTTTATTATGATTTGGAAACGCACAAAATCCAAAAACTATGTTTGAATATACCTATATGAACCGTTCACGTCTCGTTTATTACACAGTCTACGTGCGTTTAACGACAATACGAATATAAATAAAAACACACGTGTATTAAATTACTATTAGACATAATACAAAATTATTATGAATAACACGAACAAATATAAATAATGATATGGTCGTTTGTGCGTTTCGGCCCGTTACTCCAGCACGTCGAAGCACTACAATTTTCTCCGTTCTTCTAGTTGAATATCATGCCACGCCATATACTTATCGTTATACTCTCACCACCGCACCTACTCTCGATATCTCGAAATTTAAGGGGGAGGGGGAATTAAAATAATAAATAAAAAGTATTCGGTAAATTCCACATCTCGAGCCAAAAAGAAACCAAATAGAAATATGTTTTAGTGAGTTAACTATTCGAGCCAAAATTATTTAATTTTTAACAACGGAAAATATTTTAATCTAATAAATCAGATTTTTTTTTTTACTATAATCTTTTTCTCCGTTTCCCTTCATTTTGAGTGTTCGATATGTCGATGAGTATACCTATACTAATATTCGTTTTACCAAAACCTTACCGCATATAATAGATAATATAATAATAATATACTAAATCGTAGATTGCAGTGTAGTATAAATTGTATTATATGATTATGTAAATAATATGATAATGCATATAATCCCTGTTTGTATAATTCATTTTTTATACCTTTTATTGCTTGACCGCACACTACAGCATGGCGAATCGCTTGACAGTATTTTGAACAGTTTTGAACAGTACGATGCGACGGTGGCACGGGTCGACCGACCCGTTGTAGTGGCGCTGGTAAATAAGTTGCGGCACATCTCGGCCAGAAGCCGTTCTCAAGGTATAACCACAAAAAGAAAGTAACATGTGTTAACAATGTACGGTCGTCCGTTGGCGGTTAGGGCCAGAGTCAACGAATTTCTCCTAGAATAGAACAAAGGAAAAGCTGGAACTTTTTCCAAATATTGGTTATGGTTTTTTTTTCTTTATAAATTATTGGTTTGGCTTCGGTTCTGGTTCTTAATATGATTAGAGTAGAAATAGTTTTACGGCCGATTCCGGTTAGAGGTGTATTTCAATCTTTAGGATCTTCATAAAATAGCTTCTGTTAATACAAACTATATAAATAGTCTAAAGATTTTTTTACAACATTGATAATCAAATAAATATTTTCGAACGGTAATCCTCGGGTAAATACATGTTTTATGTTCTACGTTTTGTCTCCCACAGCTATATATACAATTGTGCACCATCGAAGATTGTGTAAACTATCTAAGACTGCTGAATCTCATGGTAAGAGGAGATGCAAAAAAAAAAATTCGATTTTAGATTTAAACAGATCAGTTTCATATTTAATGCATATTATACATTAATCTCAAATAGCGATATAGGAGTAATGTGAGCACCTTATACCAGGGCATTAACAATTTGGGTACACAAAAGCAATCACTAATCTAAGGCGAAAATTATTAAACTTAACACTTTATATCACAGATGAAAATGTCAGTTAAATTAATTAAAATTTGGTACACAAGTTAATTTGTGATCAAATTTAGTGATAAACTGCGAAAGTTTTAACGTTTAAGTTGCTGACTTATAAAGTAAATCAAACGAAACGTAAAGTTGCCACGGTTAAGGTGTATATGTTTAAACCGCCTCTGAGAAGTGCTGTCTCGTATTGTCCTGTAATTTTACAGCCACGAAGAAATGCAATCCTGGTTCGTTTTAATTGATTCATCCGGTTGAGAGAGTGTACGTGTATGGTATTATAATTTAGGTAACCCCTATAAAGTTTCGGTTCCGGTAGCGGGCAGTCTTCGTACGTATTCCTAAGCAGCCATTGCCGTGTACCGTGTTCTCTCCTATATCTTTTCGATGTATAAGAATGAGTCGTGCGCGTTTTTGCTTTTTCCCCTCCGAAGTAATCGTGTACGCGCTACGATATAACGTTACACGACGAGCTACATGTGTTACACCCTTTACACGACAATAATATTATTTGAATGTGCGTCTGCGGACACGATACGTATATTAAACGACTTCAATATGTTTACCTATAGGTACATTTATCCCGGACCGTTGGTTCTCGCTGCAATAAAACGCAAAAACGCACGTTTATTGTCATCGACGATAATGTTCGCATGTTCCCGAGTGGTTTTTCTAACTATAAACATAATATATATACTTATATATATACACATATGCATACACATTATAAGGAGTACATGCGTGTTTTAGTAATTTTACCGTTTCACGCCACTAATACCTCGCATTTATATATAAAATAACATTAGATCGTTATCGTCGTTCTACATTTTTATGAAAATAAACTGATCGAAGTCGAATTTTTCATTCCTTGGTATCCGTTATATAATATCGCTGTTGATAAAATGACTATAACATGATGGCGGAAATGTGATGTTAAATTTCGTCCGGCTAATATGTGATCAGATCGCGTTAAAATGTTTTTTTAGTTTATAACCGAGTTTGTTACGGTTCATTTTATTTAACCAATAAACCATTTAGTTCACAATTGTATGCACGCACAGAGATAAAATCAAACAAAACGAAGAACTCAAGTTATCTATCTTCATTTTTGCCTCCAATTTGATTTCAAATATTTTGACAAACCCCGTTTTTCGATCAATTAAAAATAAATATATAAATTTATATGAAAAAAAAATTAATCGTTACTTTTTTTTTACCATATATATTTATTATATATATATTTATATCATATTTTTTATATGATACTTATTAAAAATCATAAACCCTTCGATGCGATCATATCGTATGTGTGTATGACTTGCACCGTTTTTTAGTTTTATTGTACATACTACACTCGATGCGCCGAGACGAATTATTTGCATGTAAATTGATACGCTGGCCGTGTGTGTGCGGACACGGACGGCACTTTGGCAAGGTGACGGTTATCTTCGGAGACTTAGTGACGGGTTCATTCGCGTCCGCACACACATTAGCGTAGCTCTTATATCGCACTATCAGTGTAAGAATACCATATATCAAAAATATTAAATTGTTCAGAAGAGCATTTCTAATGTTTGATAATTTATAGTAATTTGTAATTTTCTTCTACTAAATATCAATATGACTAACTAGACCAGACATTTTCTTATAATATTATCATCAAGTATAATTTAAAGACTACATTTCGTTTTACGGCTTTATTGTTTTCAGCTACCTCTCGATCTGCCTTAGTACAATAAATTTATTTGTATTACTGACGATTTAAAAATATAATTACATAAATTGCACCTCTCGTAAAAAAAAGAAAAAAAATTACGAATTCAGGTATACCAAAAACGTAAATTTTAAATTTTTTGATATACGGCCCTTTTGCACTGATTGTGCGATATGTCCGCAAACGTATATTACTGTACGGCGGCGCACGATTGTAATTGCAGAACGTATCACAATCGAACCGTGTTTGTTGTATGTATACATATGTATACTATTGTATATTATTTACATTTTACATTGTAATATTATACATTACAATAACAACACGCCGTGACGGTGACGACAGATTTCGAGTGTTTCGGAAACGATTGAGCCGCCCTGACCGCCCGACCAGAACGAAACGTCGACGATCGAACGACGACACATTTTTTACGTTTAATAAATGATATTTATTACTTTATTATAATAATGTGAATAAACGTAAACGGAAAACGTGCGAAACCGTAAAATGGTTTTGTCCGTCCGTGCACGTAATCATGTTTCCGATACAGAGCGTAATGTTATACTGTCGATCACAATAATGTATTCAATTTGTTCGGTTCGATTTATTTACATGTTCGTTTAATTTTTTTATTTTTAGAGCCCATTGTCGACGGGTCACACGTTACATCAAAAACGGGTAACGTGACGACTTCTCGGTACTACACGGAACCCTCGCCTCTAACCAAATCAACAGGTAATTATTGTACAACAACCCCAATTTTCAATTTCAAACAGTGTTCGGTCTTATATGCATTTCAAGGTTAAAAAGGACTTGTAAAAGGAGTTTAAAGGGAAATATAATCGAGGACTTGTAGATAGACTTGTAGAAAAGTATATATTTTTATTTACGTACCGACCGTGAATTATCATTTAAAGCCATACTTCATAATACGTAAACTTTAAAATCATTGAGGAAATGGCCATTCGTGAGTCAGGATACCGTTAAAAAATAACAATGTATATTATACAACTTGCCTTCAAATATTCTGTCGGTTAAAGGTTTTTAAGCTTGATAGGTATATAATAATGTATAAGAACCATAATATAACCATATGAATGGCGATATATAATTGACTTATATAATAACGGGAAAATGTCAAAAATTTTTGTCGGACACGTTTCTAACGCGGTTGCGTCGGCGTTCAAATTTATCAAATTCAAACTAATCGTTGGGTGAAGGAGACAAAGGAGAGCAATACTTAATTCAAAAACATTTCTGACGTATATAAATCATGTTTAGAAACGGTATATTTCATGCGGTAAAAATGCACCACAGAACGTGGTTTCATGCATGATAGTGAGATGCTGCTGTAGTATAGCCGTCGCGTTTTTCTAAAAGTATAATATAATATTTTGTCAACTAAAACATCCCAACACTGCAATTAACGTCACGTATTATTGGGCGTATGGACTCTGTGTGGTTACGTTTTAGGTGGAGCAAACTGCTTCGAATAAATAGTAAATTAAGAGTGATTATACAATAATATATATGAGACGAAAATCAAGTTTTATAGTATAATATTTTCTTATGTTATAGAAGTTAAATAAGGTTATTACTATAATAACGATGTATAGTTTTTTTTTTTTTTTGTAAGTACATATTTAATTAAGTATATAATAAATTTATACTGTTATATCTCATGCTCGAATAAGTAGGTATTAAACATAGCAACGAGTCGAAATTGAAATAGGTTATGTTGAATGTACGCAGATTATCGATAACTTATCGCAGAAATGGTGTGGTGTATCGAGGATTTTTTTTTTTTTTGGGGGGGGAGTGGATCAGAATTAGAAGGCATTGATCCATCTGCGAAAATCAGCTTGCGTGCACCCGAGTTTGGTACTAAACGAAGTGCATGAAATAACAATAAATTGTTAGTTTTGAGAAACTTAGACAACTCCGAAAAATATCGACCGCCTATATCGATTTACAGTTAAATATTTACATATCAGTATAATATATATTTGACAGTTTTTAAATGGTTGCATCTGACGGTTATGATTTTTTTATCATTTTCATAACAAATATTATTATGACATATATTCCTATTCTGTCAGCCTCATATAAGTTACGATGTTGTTCAGAATAGAAATTCGTTCAAGCTAGATACCGAATAGCTAAGAAAATGAGAATGAAAATAAAAGAGCGCATTTTCTCGTATACATCGATTTCCGTAATTTTTTAACTTAAAACACGTATAAAAAAATATTATAATTGTTTTATCACTCATAACTGCTTTTTCGTTGAATATATTCAATAAAATCAATAAACTTTATTTCGTGTCTAAATTATTTTAATTTTTCATAATTTTTCTACAAATTATGTTTTAAAAAAAGAATTCCGAATATAATTCAAGTAACTATTTGATAGTTAGTTATATTTCAATAAATATCACATTATAGTATAGGTAATACAATTTTATTTAAATTTTAAATAATATTTAAAAACCAAAAATGCCTTAAGAAACCATTGAATTATCTAAAAAATGATGTAATATGTAATAAATATGAAATAAATATACTTAAATAAATAATTATAATATAGTATATCGCACAATGTACCTAGTTATAAATGTGAGCACATGTTTTTGCAGAGCCGAAAAGGTATCTAAAGAAACCGACGAGAGCCAACAGTATCTTACTGAAGTCGCCAACCATGTGCGGCATGGTGGCCGATCGGAAGAAGATATTCGAGCAACGGTAATTCGGCCGCTGTCGCGACCGCTTGACAACGACGACTTCGCGCGGTAATACCGTGGTATTATTATGTTAAATATGATTATCGCGACTAGTTGGTGCCAATAACACAGTACTCGCATATATACGTATATGCTCGCAATGATTCATATTGAATTTTTTTTCTTATATTCTTTCGTTACATTATATTATTATTATTATTTTTATTATAATATTATTGTATTTTATTGTTTAAGTATTGTTTTTCAATATTTTTTTGGTAGTTTTAAATACGTTTTTTTTCGTTCGGATAAAACGCATGTGTTCAACCCCTTAGTTATACCTACCAATAATTTTATATTTTATTTTTTTATATTATATAGTTATGTGGTTTTATTATTATTATTATTATTGTTTTTACCCATACATAAGCAGGGTGTGTGTTTTTGTATGTGTGTTTGTATGTGAAAGAGAGAGAGAGTGATACCAATGGTGAGAGTTGTCAGAAAGCGCAACGGACTTGTTTTTTTTTTTTTTAAACCAAGAAAATAATTACGTTTATTTTATTTTCCTTGTGTACATTCGTCGCGCGTACAAGTTTTTATTGTAATATCATTGTATTTTTATTATTATTATTTTTATTTTTTTCGTTAGGCTATTATAGAGTGTGTTTTTCTTAATTTTTATTTTATTTTACTTTTTTTTTTTTTTTGTTGAATAGTGTTACAAAACTAACCAAATACGTCGTGCGTACCCTATGCACCCCTACCCACCTGTAAACTCGTTCAAGTCGCGAGAACATTAGAGAAAAAAACATTGTTTTGACTATGTGTGTTGTACAAAATATAATATATAGATATTGTGTTGTTTTTTCTACGTTTCCACAGATGTTCGACACGTTTGAGTTTAAAAATAATTAGTTTTTTTTCAACGTTCCGTTATATTGTTATTAAACATCCCCTCTTATTTTCTATTTGTTTTCTTTTAATGTAAGACTTTGTTGTTATTATTTTCGAAGCTCAATCTAACAAATATATAATTTTTTTTCTTGTGATTTGTTTAATTATTGTACATTGCTTTTATTTAATTTATAGCTTCAACGAACATGAAATGAGTATTTGGAATTGTAATGAAAAAAGCATCCAGTTGAAAAACTTTATGAATTCAGATTTACTATTTTTCCATCACAGCTTTAGTCAGTAAAAAAAAAAAAAAAGTAATTACTGGATTAAAGTTATTTTAATAATATATATGTACTTATATTGTTGGCTTTCACATACTTGTATAATTTGTGTAATAGATCTCAACATTTAGCGTTAAAACAACAATTTTAATCAAAATTAGTTCAGTTAAGCCGAAAATCCATTGTTCAACCAATAGCTAAAACAGAAAATTGACTATTTAAAATTGTATGATAGGTGACTAATAGTTTAATCTTGATTCTTATACAAGAATTTTAAAAGCTAAATTACAATTATGGCGTATAAAATTGGATCGAAATAAGGAACCTACAAATAATGCATTACTTCTATGAAATAATCATTTTCTTAAATACCTGTTGTCTGTTAAAATATTATGTAAGCAGTGGCGCCGAAACCAAACAATTCATATATGTGTTCGTAAAACGATGAGGCCTGACCAACAACCCGCGATTGAATTTAGAACCTAATAATGTTTGCATTACACGAACAATATTATTAGATAAATTAGACACTTGGATTGATCTACCGGGCCGTGTGTATCAACGAGTTGATTACCAACCGTGTTTGTCTATAATTTACAATAACCAACTACTAGCTGACCCAATCGCCGAATACTGGACCCACTACTGAAATATTATGAACAGTGGCGAAGCTATGAGACAAAGGGACATTGTCTAATCTAGTTTCTGATTGTATATATATATTATACATTGTAAATACACTAGCATTTTACGTTTAAATTCCCATAATCCTATAGTTCAATTATGTCAATCGTTACTCTATTAATCATATATAGGTACACGCACAATAAGCATACACAGGTTCTTATTTCGGCCGCGAAGCAATAAATCCAAACGACCAACAAAACACACTGGTAATATGTCTCTACATTGTCTCGATTGACGAAAGGAAAGATTCCACGTGTAAGCAGCTAAAGAGACATGTTTTACGAACAATTTAATCGAGAATTATGAACCTATAGATTGGTCATCGTTATGCATTCGCAATTATCTTTCCAGATTTATTTTAAGCCCTATGAAATTACATAAGTTGTCTACCCGCTAACGATGGCACTGTCTACATCTGCTGAAAAATGGAAGTGCATTTGTACTCAATTGTGTTTTCATAACTTGTATTGAATAAATATTATCGATATTGCGATTATGTATCCCGGTCCCCGAAAAATGAATGTTTAAATAGCTATGCGCAGATCAAAGATCTATAGAGAAAGTTTTCAATCTTTTCGCATAAATAACAAATTAAAAAATGGATTTAACTTACAAAGTGATATAAGTATTAAATAAGTTAAAAATTATTATAATGTTTTAATACAAATAATGTTGATTGAAAATGTCTAAATAACCTTGCTATTCACTACCGTTTAATTTCAGTATTTTAAATTTTGTCTCCCCTTATCCAGAATTCAAGTTTCGCCGATAATCATGAAATACATCTTCCTTAATTGAATGCAAGGTTTGACGTGTAGGTACTGTTCTCTACCTGTTTGCGAAGTACAATGATAATTTCAAATTTAATTCAGAAACAGAAAGTACGGTTGAATTTATAAGAAGAGTAGTTGTAAGTGTATTTGTTTAATTTTTATAGACCCGACGCTTACAATATTAACGATTCATAGACGAGTTTCATTAACACCAGAGTAAGTGGTAGATGATCCAGTAAAAAAGTTTAAAAAATTAAGTTTAATATTATAAAAAATAAAAATTACATTCAATTTTATAATGTAATTATTAAATATATATTATTATTGAATGTCATGATTAGAGGAAGTTTGCGCTGATAGCCCACTACATATTTTTCTAGAAATTATTCATAATCCCTTCCTTCCTTAATTGAAGATTCATGAGAACACCACTCGTAATTGTACTAATAAATCTAAAAAAAGGATATAGATATAGGCATCTCATAGTCAATGATTTTGATATTTTCATGAAGTACAATATATCACCACCAGATAAGTATTTTATTTTATTTCTCATCAACTAATAATCACATTGTAGTTTATGTGCACACGGCTCTTGAGGCACCATGACCCAAAGAAAATAAAACTAGAGTTTGTATACCAAGCACATTTCAAGTTCTATATGGTGTTCACTGCATAGCACCACAAATAAAATTAATCCAAAAAAAGAGCACAACTGGATTATTAACAGTTGAGGAATCACTACTATAGTTAAATGAGTTATGTCTTCATCATGGTATTATTAAATTATGTAGAAAATACTAAATTGAAACAGTCATTATATATTAAACTATGTTAATTCTAGTACGAATTGAAACACATTTAAAAATCACAGTGATTAACATTTTATTAACAAGACCATTACTAACAAATTGTTGTGCAATTCGACAACTATTATACAAACATGGGTTATACTATATTGGTTACTCAAAATTTATACAAACTTTTGTTGAAAGTAATTTATCAGAATAATATACTGTAAATTCTGCTAATAACATTGAACCAATTAATATAACAGTCATTGTAATATAGATAAAATACATTTTTATGAGTACATTTCTAGCAATTCTTAAAGTAAAAATAATGTTTCAAAATGTAAAGCAATTTAAAATTGAACATTGTCAAAAACTATAGATTTTTCAAGACAATCAAAATATACATGTAATTTTTACAATAATTTCATATTGATGGCAGTATGTAGTTCTGTACACTTCTATTGTAAAATCAAGTATTATGTAACCAAAATAAATAAAAACAATTTAAGTTATAATATAAATCACATCCACAATTTTTTTTTTTTTAATTTAGAATTGTGTCTAAGAGATCTGAACACCAGTATAAAGTTAATGTACACCCATAAAATTTAGGATCTGAGCAGCTGACGGTCGTTTTTTATAATCTTCCATTGTACACATAGTGAAGAGTTCAACGATTTGTTTATACTTTGGATCCATTGTTATGTTATCAGGCAAAGGTGGCCTTTCACCTGGATTACAAAAATACAATTGACGATTAATAGTTTTAGATACTACTAATGAATGTTTACTTCGGTCTGATTTAATTACCTAAATGATCATCTATGTCTTCACTCATGCCAGTATAGTATGTATCATTAATTGCTGTAGATGTGTTTGGCAACGATAATGTCATCATTTCCCAAAGCACCAAGCCATAGCTGAATATGTCAGCTTTACTTGTAATTATGGCACCCATACATTCTTCGCCTGGTAATACTTCGGGAGCAGACCAACAAGGAGTGCCTACGTACAAAGCTTTGCAGCCTTTAATTTTATGTAATGTGCCATCTGTTTTTAATGGTAAACTCACTCCAAAATCACAAAGCTTTACAATCTCAAAGTTATCTGTGCAAAGGAAAATAATTGAATTATAATTTAATACAATATTAATAAAATATTAACTGACTTACTTTTCACTAAAATGTTTCCAGATTTAATATCTCCATGCAATACCAAAGAAGAATGTAAATATTCTAATGCTTTTGCAATATCAACAGCTACTTTTGTGATTTTTTCAGCAGGATATGGTCCAAGGTTATCGATCTGACGAGTTTCAATCATATCACATAAACTCTGTTCACATTGTTCCATCAACAGTACCTACACAATTCAAACATAATTTTACAGATAACATTTCAAGCGATGGGTATGACAAAAGAATGTACTTCACGGCCATCAGGTCTCTTGACAAATGCCCTGTAACCGATGATGTTGGGATGATTGAGGGACGCCAACACTTTGGCCTCCAGCTGCAGCCGATTGCTGTATTCTTTGCGTTCTCTGCCTGTATGACGACTGACGATTTTTGCTGCCCATGGCGATTTCTCGTCTCTCAAATAGTTGAATACGCCAACACCTAAACGGACCATTGGCAGTTATGAGTAAAACGGGTAGAACGTTGCTGGTGAATAAAGACAAGCTTACCGGTTCCGTATCCAATGCGTTCCAAAACCGGAGTCTCGGGTATTTTCGCCGTCGATCGCAGTACTTTCGGGGTGGAGTTGTTGTGCATATTGTTCTGTTCTCGCATAGAGCAGAGATTGAGTCGGAGAAGAACGGTGTACGGCCAAAATCGAAAACAATAAGAAAACGGAAATCGTCTTGAACGTGGTAGCGGGTGACCACCGTTCGCGAGACGAAACGTAAACAAGACAGAAACGCGTCGACTGTTGGCAACACAATGGTTTTGAAATTTCAAATGTAATGTACGTTACGTTCGGTATCTCGACGTAATTCTTGGTTACGTTGGTTTCGGTAGGAGCGCATGGAGGAAACAACGATATGGCCCCGCTCATAGATAAAATATATGAATGCAAAGATATTCCTCTGCAGACCATAAAAATATTGCGGACTGCGTGTAAATGTATAATATATTTAAATTATGTTTAATCGATGTATATATGTTGTGGTGTAGGCGAAGGAATCCAATGAAAAAATGTCGAAAAGGCGACGAAAGACAAGAATAAGTATAGTTCAGAGCGTAAATCGATACTATTCGTCGAATTTATTGTTCCATGTTTGCCCCATTTATAGTCCCACTGCATAACGAATATAATAACAAGTGATCGCTGATAATGTGATTGCTGTTTTGAAAACTGATAAGTACCAGAACACTGACTGTATTGATATATTCATATACTTCCAAGAGGTGAAGGATACTGCGCGCACTCGTTTAACCATATTCACCGCACTTTACATGCATACAATCACTGCTTCTGTAACCTTGTGCTCGCTTTGAGTGTAAAGTATTAGTAGTAACAACGCTCGTTTAAAACTGTTAACTAATCGTCGACGATCGACTCGGTTTAAGCTTCGAACACTTAATATCTATCGATTCTTCTTTCGTTTCTTGTGCGGTCGCTGACTTGACGAAAAATATAGACAATCGTAATAATTTGCCGTTTGTTCAGCAACTAGTCCAAATATTTTACACGCTTCTAATTGTTTCAATAATAGTTCAACGATGCCGTCCGTTGTTAAATCTTTTTTGCCTTTGAACACTCGAGGAGGAAATAGCCAAATGCCAGTTGTTGGATGTAAGTTGTAAATAAATAATTTTTTTTTTAAACTTTTGAGTGTAATAATTTATATCTTATAATTTTCAGTTGGTACTTACACAATTTCTGACCGAAAAATAATTCTGAATGTCTTGGATGTAGCTCTAGGTGCTGGTTATCGTTTGATTGGTAAGTTTTAAAAATATAATTCACATTTAAATCCGAGTAATCACAAGTTAAACGAGATATTTTTGTATAATTTAAATGTGAATGTATGAATTCAGTTTTCAGTATTATTAGTACTATTTGATTGAAACTAATTATCAGATTTTCAATAACGATATTTAAAAAATTTGATATCAACTTGTGTTCTTGGATGGTAGAGCATATTTTCTTTTGAAACTCGAGTACTTCACCATGTTAAAAACGGTTATAAAAAATAGAACAGAATTACCGTTTTGTAAATTATCCGATTTTATAATTTTTACCATTTTGGTATGTTCCTTCTATAGCCAATAAAATAAAAATAAACAAATTGCAAGTTCATCTATTGAGCATTATTTTATTTATATTTATATGGTTATATAATTGACTAATGATGGAGAAAGTTCAGAGAAGAATATCTACGATTTTTGGGTTTGAAATCCCTTCCCCTTTGATACAAAATACAAAATATTTGCTTATTTTAAATTTGTTTGGTAATTTAAATTTTATAATCACTAGGAAAAATTTTCATATAGCCGACAAGGAAGCATTGTGTACTGGATAGTTTTAATTCTACTCATACAATTTTATTGTGAAATTAATTTAAAGTGGTTTACTTAAAAATCTGGAGATATTTTTTTATCAAAGTTCTGATAATTGTTTTTGAATTTAATGAGTTAAATTTTAAAACTGGTCAGATTCATTATGTGTTTATTATTTATAAATATTCTAAATATAATTGAAATTTTGAATTTTATTTTATTTTCTAGACACAGCAGCAGTATATAATAATGAAGAATACATTAGAGAAGCACTGAAAGTTCTGTTACCAAAGTATCACTTGAAGCGTGAAGATTTGTTTATTACATCAAAATTAGGTACCAATATATTTGAAGTGTATAACTTCGGATAAATAAACCAACACATAAGTAATCACACAAATAGGAAACTATTTGGACTCTATATACATTATTAATAATTTCCTATATGACTTAAACACTAACATTTTCAACTCAAAATAAACTGGATATAGTCAAGGAATATTTTATCTCATATAATTTTCATCAATAAACATTAAATTTGGTGGTAGAAGCAAGGCTTAAATATATTTTAAATTTAAGTTTGCTTACTCTAATCATAGACATCGTAGTTGAAGTAATTATAATATTATTATTTCTTTATTATTATTATTATTATTGATTACAATAATATTATTATTATTTTGTATTGTATATAGCACCTCGTGACCATGGAGATGAAAAAACTGTCACAGCTGCTGTTCAGAGGTCATTAGATAATTTAGGTACCAGTTATCTAGATTTATATTTAATACATTGGCCAGGAGCTGGTCGTATTGATGCAAAAAGTCCAGAGAATTCTAAATTTCGCAATTTAACATGGAAAGCTCTTATGAAATTACATGATAACGGCAATGGGCCACTAAAAAATATTGGAGTATCTAACTATACAGTAAAACATTTAAAAGAAATACTTGATGATCCAACTAATATTATTCCTGCTGTTAATCAGGTAAATTATGTAATTTAAAGTATTAAATACTTTTCTTAAGGTATTGAGGTTTTACTGCATAGTTTTAAACAAATATTTTTATAATAATTATGTTTTTAATCGAAATTCTCATATGAATTATATGAAAATGTATATGAATTACTTAGTAGTTATAATCTATTGTTTAATTTTTATAAAAAAAAAACTTTGTTGTTTTTATGCTTTGATCAAAAACTTATTAAATTATTAACTACCTAACAAAAAAGTATTTAAAGATGCTTAATACATCTTGCTCTTTACCAGCTCTTTGAAATATATTAGCTTTAAACAATTTGTTTCAAATATATTTAGCTTTAAAAGAATCAATATTTTTATATTGTATAGTTTTACAAAGTGGAGTGTTTGATAATGTTTTCACAGAGTTATTAATTATTTAATTTTTTTTTTATGGAATTAAGTTTTAAAATTCAGTAAATAAAATACTTTATTATACATTTATTAAAGTGTTTATTTTCTTTAATCATCACACAAAGTTTTAAAATGCCAAAGACATTGGACAATTGGATCTCATTGTTCAAGTGTTTTGGTTCCAATTTGTCCAGTTTGAGTCACTACTGTTTATTAAAAATGTTGTATTTATAATCTAAAACAGGGTTTAATCTAGTTTTAAACCATATTTAAATTGAAAAATAATGACTTAATAAAATGCTTGTCGTGTTGTTCAAGTATTTTGAGACACCTATTAGAAGTATAATTTTATTTAAATATGATGTAATAATACTAATATATTACTGTAAAACTAAGTTTTTACTGTTCATGTAAAGTTCTAATTCATAACATAAAAGTTTAAAAACACATGAATCATAATTGGTAATTAGTATTTTATTATATGATACCCATATTACAAATATGTGTTAAATGTATTAATTTAATATAATATTCATTTATAGGTTGAATTCCATCCTTATTTTCAACAATCATCAGATTTTCATCGACTGTGCAAGAATTCCAAAATTGTGCTACAGGCTTATAGTTCAATGGGTGGATCTGCTGGAAAAAAATCATTACTTAATGATCAAATAATTAATCGTATTGCTCAAAAACATTCAATAAGTTCAGCTCAAGTGTTGTTGAGATGGGCTATTCAAAGAAATTATGGTAAGATCAGTAAATACTACATTACATTTTTTTAATTTTTGTTCTACTTAAAATAATATGATAAAAATATAGAATATTTAAGTTTTAAATTATCAAAATAATTAATCAGCAATAAACCAAATTCTTTTAAGAATTTTATTATTCCAAACCCCTAAATCATCCCTCTCGAATTTGCTATAAATAGGGCTGTTTTTGGAGTTATTTCAAAAGTACTTCAGATAAATACTTCCAAAGAAATAGCTTAAGATAAAAATGAAACTAATTTCTAGAAAAAAGGTTCACATAATTTATAAAATAAATGTATTGTTAATAACTGACTGTAAAACTGTTTGTTTAATTTTCAAATTTTGTTTTTAGCTATCATTCCTAAATCAATTACTGCAGAAAGAATAAAAATAAATTTTGATTTAGACACAGAACTTACTGAGGAAGATATGAATGATATAAACAATATTAAACACAAAGAAAAATTTGCGTGGGAACCAGAAGTAATAGCTTGAAAATATTACTTTTTCATTTTTTATATTGATTGCATAACTTTATGTTTGCATAATATATATTTTATTTAAATAGTTGTAAAAAAAGCATGATAATCATAATTTAATTATAGGCAATAAATAAATGTTTGGATAATTTTGTTAACTAGTATAAGCCAGATTAAACATTAAAATTATATTTTTACCTATTCAGTTACAATCTATGTATGAGCTTTTAGTCAAATTAATGTTACCCATTTTATTGTTTGTATTCTTAGATAATTTTTAATAATTACATTGTTTTTCTATGTAACATTTATTTTATCAATATCAAATTTTAAATCCATGTAAAATTTCATTATTGTTTAAATATTTTTTAAATGTTCTCTTACTAAAAATGTGAAGTAAAACTTTCTCTTAAATTTCAAATGTTTTAATTAAAAACTTTTTTATATTGTATTTTTTTTATTTCAACATCAATATTAATTATTTTATTCATCAGTGTTTTTATATTTTCTACATTTTTAATTTTAGATTAGAAGAAAATATTTATGAAGCATTATTTATGAATAGCACTAAAAACGGTCTGTAATCTGAGATGGGATCTTACGTCTTTTTGTTTGATAATCAATTTAATATAGAGTGGCCCAGTATGTTGTATATTTCTATAAATAATTGTTTTGGTATAGTGTAATTTTATAGTTACGCCCAGTGGCATATAAATGAAAGGTGGTTCGGTGTATATTCCTCTCCGAAGACTTAAAATAATTAGTTTTGAAATGGTTAGAATGAATACTACACTATAATAACGTCATTAATATTTTAACATGTGTATAAAGTATTGTACATGTCAATTTATGATGGAATCGTAAAAACATCAATTTTTCGTTCGAATAGGTATATAGGTACAAATAGACCTTCGATATTAATATAAAAACTATGTAAAAAATTGTATGCTCCCCACCATTAGTTTTTATAATTTTAAATATCATCAGTTTTCCCCGTTCAACCAAAATAATCATTTGTTCTTGTTACAACGTGTTTTTCAAGTTTCGCACAAGAAATAGAAATGGTATTCTGGATGGACGGTCAAGCCACGTTTACTTTTGATGTTTCTCTCCAAGAACATAATGGCTTATTAACAAATATGGGATAGATAGTGTTGAGATGTCTTTCGGGTTTATTAACTCTCACAGACTGGTTTGATAGATCTTGCAAACAGTAGTCACATCGAGGACGTACTAAACGCTCTCAGCTCATTTTAAAATTAAAATTTTTCATTTAAATCACGTGTACGAATAACACTGGAATAACCAGAAAAAAAAATCGTCTACAACTATTCTGTTCAAAAGCGAAAAAATTACCACATCATTATTATTGAATAACATTTGGTAATACATATTAGTCTTCGATCGTTTATTTAATGACTTTTTGTACACAACCATAATGGGACTGGTGGTCGTGAGCTCGTTAAACTCCGCGAAAAATATGAATAAAAATGAAAATCATGTTGTATACATAAGCTTTTTGTTATATTTTCTCCTTCGATCTTTTTCTTGTAACTGCATTTTTAAAATTGTTAAAAGTCATAATAGTAATTTTTGTTGTTATAGTGGGTAGGGGAGCGGTAAAATGTGTGTTCCCCGGGTCTGAACGGATCCGAGTAATTTTGATTGGAATGTTTATCGAAATAAAAATATTCGATGGACAAAGAGACGGTTTTTCTTTTTACTTGATTATACTTCGTTGGCTAGATGGTATTAGTATGGTATTAGTGGTAAACATATTTATCCTGGAACCGCGGTATCTCGAACATTTGGTCCGACATATTACCGGTCTTTTTTTATGCGGTGGTCGCGTATTGTGTAGATACAACTGGAGCCCGAATGTTGATAACGTTTGCATATTTTTTGGAATATTATTTGTGGTACTCTTCCAGGTCGAAATATATCCCTATAATGTAAGTAAACAGTATTTATTTTGTATTTTTTTCATTTTTAGGTCACCGATCGAGAGACAAATTGTGAGTTCTATTGTATGTCGTCATTACATTTTTAATTTTTTTTTTTAACCATTTATCAATCTCAAACTAATTTCGAAATTAGTAGAATTTCATTAAATGTTTTACGGGCATTGTATTTTCATGTCATAAATGAATTTTATTTAGGACATTTTTATTGGTTTTTTTAAAGCATCGGCATTCGAGCCCTTATAACATAGTGCAATACGGGGAAAAACCGTAACCCTTACTGGATCCACTTTTTCACTTTTTAAGATTAGGAATCATATCATGTCATGTCGAAATACGAAGTATGCGTGCTTATATGCTCTTATGTCTGATTAATTGTTCTCATTTGAACAACGATACAGTCCGTAGAGGTGTGAAAAATAATAGACGAAATGAAAGTGTCCAAGATTGAATAAAAAAAAAGAAATTAAAAGAAAGCCAAAATATTAAATCTGTCGGTTTGAAAACGATACCAATGACCTAAAATATTCGAAATGTTTTAAACACGCGTTTTTGTAAAAGTATGATATGAAAAATAAATGTACCTATCATATTTTCAATCTCCTGCAGTATGCGAAACGAAATTTTATCACACTTGGTTATGTTTCGGATTCGTAAAGAAAAGAATGTGCAAAATGCTATAAAGTTCCAACTATCTTTTCAATAATAGCGGCAGTTGACGGGAATGTACAACGTATAGTATAAAATGCATTTTCGTTTTTGGCAGACCGTGTGTCTTGATGTTTTGATTGAAAAAAATTATTGCCGCCTCGGACATACGTGAAAAGTGATTGCTGTGGTCATACCGCGCGGGCATATTAATTCCGTATAATGTGCACACATTTTACCGGCGTCTTATACATCGAATACTTTCCACCAATGAAACAAACGAACTATAATTTATGAGCACTTTATATGCGAAGTATGTTAATCGTTATTGAATGCTTTCACGTTCACTACCGAAAATTTTTTTTTTTTTGATCATACCTCTGCAACATATTTTATAACGTCTTAGTCAAACCCAATTTAAGACATAGTAATGTAACATAGTTATTGTTGATTTACTTAAAACGTGTTGTACTTCTTTTACCGCTACCGAGAGATTA